AGACAGCCCAATCTGACACCTAGTATAGTATCATAATCGAGTCTAGGGGTCAGGTGTAACTTTCCAGTTTTGCCCATCAATCTCCAAGGTCCAAGGCAATACTGGAAATCTGGTCCGGTTCAAAGATTCAATTAATCCTACACTACATGTGCCTTTGGTCTCACCCTGGCGGCTGAGACAGGCCACCCCAACATTTGGCAACACACTAGTGTCAGCCTTGGCAGGATAAATCTCCCCAGACTTATCCAACGACTGTGAACATTATAAACTAACACGAGTCTCATAAGTGTCCAGTTTAAGGGTATTACACAGAAACACACTACATGAACATGAATCAAATATGTACTTTATTCATTTACAATAAATTCATAATGTACATTATTCATTGGAGGTAAGGGCGTATATGTACTTTATTCATTTACAATAAATTCATAATGTACATCATTCTGGTTGGAGCTAAGGGCATACAACTGTCTAACAAGCGAATCTTTGACTCTTGAGTATTGGAACGCAGACCGTAGGGTTGTTCATAAGAAGGCCCAACCCGACCAAACCGACCAACCCGAGTTGGCCGGGTTTTCATAAGCACCGGTCGGTTTTGGGTTGTACAAATTCATAAACCGAACCGACTTAGTTCCTACTTAACTAAGTTGCCTCTATCCTAATTCCTAATTACAACCTAACCTAGTCTTCTAGTTCCTATTTAACTAAGTTGTCTCTATCCTAGTTTCTATAGTCTTTTACACCAAATAGGCAACCAATTAGGCAATTACAATTAGAATTAGGTGTCCTTTTTTACTTAGATTAGAACTTAAGAAAGTTTCTTGAAATATACAAATTTCAGTCTTCTTAAAAACTTTAGTTTTCAGTTTTCAGTTTTCAGAATAGATATTTACTTCTAGGCTTCTATGTTCTTTTTGTACAGGAGCAAAACCGAAACCGACCCAACCCAACTCAAATCGACCAGGTCGATTTTGCTTAACACTGAGTCGATTTCGATTTTGCTTAACCCGATCCGTGAACAGCCCTACGGACCGTTTGTGGCTTGTACATGAATTAAATTCTCTCATCCTTAACGGTCAGGATCAATTTTAGTCGTCTAGTTTGGTGGGACCAATACAACTTCGTAATGATGCTGTGGAGTGTGGACGTGCCCCTGCCAGGGGCTGAATCGAGATCCCCACTCCCAGTGACGAATCTGAATCCCTTCTTTCTCCCAGCTTCCTTCTCTTTCTATAATACAGTTTCTCAAATCGCACAAGGTTCGAGCGGGTGGTTCGGAATGGATAAATCCATTAGAGAAGATATATCATCTGCAAAAGCAGTTTTGCTGGGGGCTTTGGCTTCAGGCGTTAATGTGCGTTTTCTTTTGCTTTGATTCAATCTTGTTGCAGAGATCAAACAGTTTTAAATCCTCTTTTGTTTGGTTATCAGGGACAAACATGGTTTGTGCTCAAAATTACATTTTTGATGCTTGGTGTTTGTCTTGCTGCCATGCTGGGCCTAGCGTTTTCTTCTAGCGATTCCACCATGATGATTCATGTTCTTTTCCTCGTTCTTATAACTGGGCTCCTCTTTTTTCTCCTTAATGTGTAATTGTTCTCTCCCTCTACACACCTTTTATGCTTTCTTTCATGAAAAATGCAAATTTTGCTTATCTCAAGATAATAATCTACACTTTGGATGTACATTTCCTTGATCCTGGAACAGAAAATTCAATCCAGATATTCTTGTAGTTAAGGGCCAGAGTTTAATGCTATATATAAGAAACGATTTGCAGCTTATTCAACTACTAACTGGTTTCACTTATTTCAACATTTCTAGGTCCTTTACCTGCACAGTCTTGCATTCCTTACTTTGACTCATCAAATGTTTGTATCCTGTTTCCACATTGTTCAGACCTCACCTCAACAGTTGACCTTTTTGTTATCAATAGCCAGGAAAGCCATATTGCAATAAAGTAGAAGAGAGAAAGGGCAGTTACAATTGTCTAGGGATCTAGAAGAGATACACATACCAAAAGGGTAAAAGGAAAAACTTGAAGATGCTATTGGATACATAATTAAAATTTTCTTTTATTTACTATAAATACATATACATATGCAAATATACAAATAACATCTGTATATCACTTTCGAGGGTGGAGGTTCTGAAGAAACTAAATCCTTCTTACCCCTACTTCAAGTCCGAGCTCCATCAAGAAAAAAAAAGCCAGGCTATCCACTGAAAGTAGGGGTGTCAATTGGATTGGATTTGGTCCAATCCGATCCAGTCTAATGTGAGTCCATTACAAACCAGGTCCAATCCAATCCAATGTATTTTGGACTGGTCCAATTCAATGTCTGGACCGTCCAATCTGTACAATTTTGTTTTTAATTTAGATTAATTTCAATCCAAACCTGGTCCATTGACACCTATATTCTTATATTCTATCAATGGATCAGATATTGGCTCAATCCAACCCAATCCAATATAAATTCATTACGGATGGACCAGATCCAATCCAATCCAATAAATACTTTGGACCATTAAGTCTAGACTGGTCCAATTCAATATGTCTTGTTGGTCCGTCCAATCCGTCCAAATTGATTTTGGTTTGGACGAGGTCCAATCCAAAACCAGTCCATTGACACCCCTACACTGAAGAGCTGTTTGACTTTGACACTTATTTTCACCCTTGGTGCCAAAGCTCTATTATTTCTGCTGTGGTGTAGCAAGGATGACAAGCTGTTAGCTCCCTCTTTCATGCATCCAATGACATTCTTCATTTCTCCTCCACCACAGTTATATCATGCCCCAATGTAAACCTCAACCTGAGCCCATGCAAAAGTGCCATGGCCCCTACGCTGGTGCAGTTTCCCAAGCCAGTAGGACCTGAGGAGACTAGAAATCTTGTCACCTGAACTGCCTCCGTAGCTCCTCAATTCTTGAAGGTGTTGAAGCTAAAAAAAAGCAGCTATCAAAAATTGAGCTTGACCAGGGGAGGGGGGTTGCTGTACAATACAATTCATCCTATCTACAATACAATTAGAGTTCAGTGGTAGGCAGATCAGCAAACTCAATGGCTGACTCACTTGTAAAACAGGGGGTTTCTCGGGCTTCTTTATTTTGGGCTACTTTGTAATTTTATTTGAACTTATGATTCTATGACCAATCTTAAAGGAAAAGTCACATCTCGTGCCTTTGCCTAGATTTTTTTTGATAGATAATGCCTTTCCCTAGATTGCCAGTAACTCTTATTTGCTGGATTAATAAAATTTTACTCATTTATCAAAAAAAAAAAAACTGAGGGTCTGCCAACAATTTATGTTCCCTCTACCGTGTCATCCATTGAAATGCTAGTGATGAGTTACTCCAACTCTCTGACATTGAAATCAATAATCACCTATATGGCTTGATACATTTGATGGTAGGATGTTTAGTGAACACTAAGTCAATGAAGCTTCTTCGAGGGAGCTCCTTCCTCCAGAAACAGAATTAAGAGAGAGAGAGAGAGAAAGAAGAGGAAGAGAGAAGGAAATAAGGTAGTTATGCTTTTTCTGCCAATTCTGTTCTACCCGAAGGCCTTTTATAGGCTTTCGCACTTATCAGTTTATCATGTCTACGAGCTCTGCATGTGGAAGGTTATGATGTGGCCTACGGTTATAAACAAATCGCAGGGGATGTTTGTAATGCATTACGTGTGCTTCTACTACTGCTGCATGGGCTTCACGACCTGTGTGGGCCTGGCTTTCCTGACTTGTATGGGCCCGGTACCTAATGGTGGGTTATCCACCTGGGATCCATCATCTCCCCCACCCTTAAGAATGACCTTGGCCTCAAGGTCAAGATGGGGAAATTGTTCTTGCAACTGATTGAGGTCTTCCCAAGTGGCATCTTCTGGGGGCAGGTTTGTCCACTAAACAAGGGCCTGCTTCACCACTTTGCGACCCATCTTTATCCAGCGGATGTCAGTGATGACATTGGGCTCAACAATCATCTGCCCCTTACTAATAAATGTCAGTTCGTGAGAAAGTGAAAGAGCAAGGAAAGAGGCAGAGGTTCAGATCTGTTAGGGTTGATCAATCTGATCAAACCAACCAAGAAAAGAGATATTTATATTAATCTTATGTAAATGGACAAGGTTGTCCTTACAAAGAGAATAAAAGAACTGTACGCTAAAGTATACGCCTATTACAGATTTATAGTACAAGAAAGAAAATGAAGTATAATAGAATTACAAAACTACCCTTCAGTAGTTCTTCTACACTCCCCCTCAAACTGATGCTGGGGTATAAGCATCAGCTTGTCAACAATGAAATTATATCGAGCTTTGGTGAAGAGATTCGTAAGCTATAGACCCGATGAAACATGTGAGAGAGAGATATGACCCGCATGGAGAAGGTCACGAATGAAGTGACAATCCACCTCAATATGTTTAGTGCGCTCATGAAATATAGGATTGATTGCAATCTTGATTGCACTCATGTTGTCAGCAAACAAAGGAATAGTAGATGAGTGATCAATATTCATATCATGAAGAAGTGCCTTAAGCCAATTTATTTCACTGCATACTGAAGACATGGCTTTGTACTCGGCTTTAGTAGATGACTTGGAAACCGTTTGTTGTTTCTTGCATTTCCAAGAAATCAAAGAATCACCAAGGAATATACACCAACCAGTAGTAGAGCGACGAGTGTTAGGACAACCTACCCAGTCAACATTTGCATAAGCTCGAAGTTGTGTGGATGAAGAGGATGAGAAAAATAAGCCATGTGATAGTGTACCCTGTACATAACGAATGATTCGGAGAACTGTAGAATAGTAAGGCTCGTGGAGAAGAAAGAAACTGACTCACTATCTGAACCGCATAGGAAATGTCAGGTCTAGTCATGGTTAGGTAGATAAGACTACCTACAACTCTATAAGTTGTCGATACAGGGTAGCATCAGGAAGACGATCACCCTCATCTTTACTCAACTTACAATTAAGCTCCAGAGGTGTATCAACATGTTTAGAGTCAGTCAAGTGAGCAAGAGACACCAAATCAGAAGCATATTTCTGTTGGTTGACAAAGTAATCCCGATGACATCTTTGAATTTCGAGTCCAAGAAAGTATGTTATTAGCCCAAGATCTTTCATTTTGAAGAAGTTACTAAGCAGAAGTTTGAGTTTGTTAATACCATCCACATCATCTCCGGTAATAAGGATGTCATCAACATAGACCAAAAGAAGAGTCAATCCCTGAGCCCGCTTGAGAGTGAAGAGAGAGTAGTCAGAAGCACTCTGCTGAAAACCAGCCTCCAACACTACTGTATGGAAGCGATCAAACCAAGCTCGTAGAGCTTGTTTAAGGCCATATAGAGATTTCTTCAGTTTACACACCAATTAAGGATTGTCACAGTAGCCGGGAGGTGGTTTCATATAAACTATCACCTGTAACTCTCCATGGAGGAAGGCATTCTGGACATCCATTTGGTGAATTGTCCATTGTTTGAAAGCAGTAATGGCTTGTAGCAAACGAACTGTTATCATTTTGGCCACAGGTGTAAAAGCTTCATCATAGTCAATTCCATACTCTTGCTTGTAGCCTTGAGCAACCAGACGGACCTTATATCTGTCCAGAGTACTATCAGATTTGAGTTTTACGGTGTAAACCCATTGACTACCAATTATGGAGGCATCTAGGGGAGGAGAGACAAGATCCCATGTATCATTATTCGCTTGAACCTTTGGATCTATAGCTTCTTTCTAATGCTCAACTGCTACGGCCTGGCTGTAAGACTTGAGAATATCTGTGGATGACAAAACAGCTGAGAATGAGCTATAACTTGAAAAGAAGCCATAACGATCAGGTGGATGAGAAATACAAGATGACCGACGCAAAGGAATAGATGAAGGTAAATTCTCAGGAGGGGAATCTACACTTACAGTAGTGGTGGGTGGAGAGGAATGACTAGTCACTGTTGCTTGAGGTGGAGGAGGCATAGGCAATGGGCGAACTGGATGCTTTCTGAAATACATCTAAAGAGGCTGAAGAGAGGGAAAATCACCTGTAGATCCAAAGTCATGAAGAACAGAAATGGATGGTGTAGGTAATTTACAAATATATTCAAAGAATGAAAGATTCTCCAAAAAGATGACATTACAAGAAATGTGCAACCGACAGACTTTGGGATCATAACAGAGAAACCCCTGGTGTTTTGTACTATATCCCATGAAACCACACATAGCTAATTGAGCTGGTAGCTTAGTTCATTCATGGGGAGGGAGATAGACAAAGCAAACACATCCGAAGACACGAAGTATGGATAGGTTTGGGCAACGGTGAAATAAGAACTGATGGGGAGAAGAATTTTCAAGAATAGGTGTAGGAAGACTATTGATGAGATGAACAATAGTGCGGCTGTGCGGGTCGCCTCCACCCAGAAGGTAAGGGGAGCATGAGAGTCTTGTATCAAGGATCCCACCATACTAGCAATGTGACGGTTCGTGCGCTCCAATACTCCATTCTTTTGAGGAGTACCAGGACAAGATCTCTGGGACTGAATGCCATGTTGTTTAAAATAGGTTTGAAACTCACCATCCTCACCATCATAGTACTCTCCCGCTA